GTTTGTCAGTCTTTTAAGTAAAGAATGGTGTTCAGAAAAAAAGTGGCTAGTTCAGCTTGAAACTTGAGCCAGTAGTGTTTTTTTTTTTTTCATACAACCACACTTTATATGCAACAGAAGTGTTTTAGGCACACTGGTTTTGTCACATAGACCATTAGTGCACTTAGGGTTACGATTTAATCAGTAATTTTCACTCCTTTATCAAGGGCTTTTTTCTTATGTGAAACTGGCATTTTATTTTTTAACTATGAAGTGTGTAGCAGTGAAAAATATGACTACTCATATACAGTTCAGAACCCCTGCCTTGATTCATGCTAAGACACCAACAGCTGTACCCAGCATTGCTTTTGCACCATCCCTACAAATATCAATGAAGTGAAAAAGGCAAACAACATATTATTATTGTGAAAATGGTTTTGTCTTTGTAGACACCCTGGAAGAGTTTCCTGAGTCCTTTAAAGCATTCTACTTTATTTCTCCCACCTCAACTTTTTATTATAAAAAGTTAAAATATACAGGAAGTGTAAAAAAATGTGATGAATAACTATATTCCTCTATCTAGATTGATCCCCACCCCCCCACCAAATCGTCATAATTACACAGTCCCCTTCCTCTTCCCCTTTTTCTCTTCTCTTCGTGTGTGTGTGTGTGTGTGTATTATATAACATTTTTCCTGTCGTATTTGAAAGTTGTTGAGATAGCATGCATTTCTTAAGAAAAAAGACAATCTCATACCTAACTGAGGTTATATGATTATAATACTTAAGAATAGTAATTCTTTGATATAATCCTATGTCCAGTCCATATTCAGTTTTCCTCAGCTGTCTCCAAAATGTCTTTTAGTGCTGTTTTTCTCCCCAAACTATAATCATTTACTTGTTATGTTTCTTTAATCTTGAGCAGTCCCTTCATCTTTTTAAAATTCCCCATGGTACTAGTTTTTTTTTGTTTTTTTTTTGCTTTTAAGAGTCCAGGATATCTGTCTTGTAGAATGTTTCACATTCAGAATTTATCTGATTGTTTCCTGATGATGTAAGTTGTTACTCCACTATATTAAAGTAGTATGGTGTCATAGAACACTGGAAGTAAGTCTCTACGTTTGATTAGGCTGAGGTTAAACATATTTTGGCAAGAATGCCTCAAAGTAACATTGTGTATGTTGCATCACATCGGAAGGTATGTAATACCTGGTTATTCCACTCAAAATTGTTTGACCACCTATTGAAGGTTGTGACCACTGGATCTCCCCAAAATAAAAGTATGTTTTTCCTTTTATAATTTAATCAGTAAGCTTCTGGGTGTGACTCTGGCAGCATGTGAATATTCTGTCCCCCATTATTGTTTTACCTCATCATTTTAGCATCCATTGTTGATCTTTGCCTGCATCAGTTATTACACTGACAGTTACAGAATGGTGAGTTTTCTAATTGTGATTTCTTCTACATTTAATAACTGGAATTTTGTAAAAAGGAGTTTTCTTCCTCCCCATCCCAACCCCGAACTTCTGTCACTACAGACTCAATAATTTTTACTTATTAAGTGTATTTATAATAGATTTGGCCAGAGTAAACCATTTCAAGCCATTTCTTGTGTCCTTTTGATATAGACCCATCATCTTTGAGCTTTTCTTTTGCTTTCTGCACAAAAGATGACCCAGACTTATCTTGTGCTTTCAGTCATGGACCCATCCAAGGATCCTTGGTTCTTTTTGTGGGGATTAGTACTTAGAAACCCAGAACTAAGTGCTGGGTGTGTTCATTGCTTCTAGGCTCTTTCACTGGACAGAGCTATGAAATACATTGAAAAATAAACTGAGTTCATACTGATAGTTTCATTTCAAATTTAACATTTCAGAATTTGGTACTTAGCTTTCTTGCTTTATTCTACAGCACACATTACTTTTAAAATTATAACCAATATTATTATGAACAGTAAATAAACTAAGTGAAGTTAAAATTTCTTTCCATTTCTTTTTGTCTTTAGATTATTTCACTAATGATGAAGTCATAGTAATGTGTTCAAAAGTTTTGAAGTAGTTTTTATCTTGTGTATGTTAATTCAGTATTCAAGTTCATATGTACTTATTTATGTTCATTTTTTTAAACTTAGTTTTAAACTTAATATTGGATATATTTCTTTCCTACTAACACAACTTAGGAGGCAGCAGTGTACATGTACTTGACCCGATTACGAAGGAATCTCTCCGGCCTAAAGTAAATCAGGTCATGCAACCAAGTAGGCAGAAGACCTATTTACTGTTGATGGATAGTGTCAGAGGAAAATTAAGAAAATCATTATTAATTTATGAAACCAAAAGAGCTATGAGATTGAACTCATTTAAAAGATGTAATATAAGTAAAGCCTGCCTTAAAACAATAGTCCTGATTTAATCCCCAAAGAGGCTTCAGTAAATGTTTTAATTTCCTTTTAAACCTCCTATTGAAAGATTTGCCCAAAACCCTCTTTAAGTGGAATTGTGTCAGAATTTTTTCACTTAGATACTACTACTATTTAGGTGGATCAGTAAGATTCAAAAATGAGACTTTGATCCACAGTGTTATAGTACTTTAGTAAAAAGTAATAAAAAATGCTTTAGATCCCATGGAAGTTATGTATCCTTATGAAAATATCTAGGTAAAGAATTTAGAAGCCTCCTTCAGGAAGAGAGCAGCAAGAAGTTAAGCAGTATAAAATCCCTAGCTCTTAAAATAAATAGGTCATCCATTTGTCTTCAAGACAGCTAAAAGACTACTTAAGCGTTGTTTAAAAGGAGAGAACCATCGAGATACGGAAATAGTGGGAATTTAACCTATTGAGTTTTGATGAGTCTAAAGGAATACAGGAAATAAATGGGATCAAAGTTTTAAGCACTTATAGATTAACAGAGTGGAATGAATAGATTTGTTTCATATGTGAGAAATCAGGATTCATGTTTTCGATGTAAAAAGGGATAAGCTCAGTTCTCCAAGGAGTTTTATGTAGGTTATCCCCCAAATCTCCAGAGAAAAAGGAAAGGCAGGGGTCACTAGGTAGGTGGGCATAGGAAATGTACTCAGCAGTTGTTCCATTTCTCCATTATAATAGAAATACCCTCCTGTAGCTGATAGGTCAGTGGGAGTATCTGGGTCTTCTGCATTCTGATTAAAGGCACTAATGACCTCATTTCTGAGTGGTAGAGAGGTGGCCCACGTCTTGTAGTGGCAAATTTTCCTCCTTACCTATCAGGCTTTCTTAGCTCATGTTTTGGATTGAATAAAGCTGTTGTGGAGGGTAGCCCTGTACATTGGAGGATATTTAACAACATCGCTGGCCTCTACCCACCAGATGCTAGTCCTGTTTTCCCCTGCTCTGTGCGCCTCCATTTCAACCAAAAATATCTTGGACATTACTAAATGACGTATGGGGGTCAAAATGGGCTCCCCTCTCATTGGGGATATGTGTGTGTATGTATGATTTGAGAGTAAGTTGTAGACTTAATGCTGATTACTCCCAAATACCTTAGTCTTTACTTTCTGAAAACAAGAGTACTCTACTTTATAGCTATAGTATACCCATCAAAACCAGGAAGCTAATAATAACATTGATATAATAATTCAGTCTAATCCACAGATCCCATTCAGTTTTACCAATTGACTCATTAATGGCCTTTATAGCAGAACAAATCACACATTACTCCCCCCTCCCCCACATCTCCCAAAGAAAGAATCCATGATCCAATCCAGAATCACATGTTGTATTTAGTTGTCACAAGTCTCCGCCCTCCTTCAGTCTGGAACATCTGTGTCTTTCCTAGTTTTTCCATGGCTTTGACCTCTTTGAAGAGTTAAAATCAGTTATTTGTTGAATGTCCCTCAGTTTGTGCTTGTCTGATGTTTCCTCCCGATTAGATTTAGGTTTTGTGTATTTGGTGGAAATACCTCAGAAGAGGTGCTCTGTTCTTACTGCATCATACCAGGTGGCGCACAATGTCACTCTGTACCATTGCTATTGATGTTAACTATCCCTTGAGGCCTGTCAGGTTCCTCAACTCCTCATCAAACTTTTACCCACTAGTTTTAGCATTGATTTTTGCCTGAATCAATCTTTACTATGATGGTTGTTGAATTTTTTTTTCTAATTACATCCTGCCTTCTCTAGTTGTTAGTAGTTGGCCTTCTACTGGTAAGGTAGATTTTTTCCTCTCCTTCATGTATATAAAAGAATATATGTATTTATATATTCATTATGTAGTATATACATTATATATTCATTATATATTCATTTAAGTATTTATAAATTTCTTTATGTCAGTATGAACATGGATTTCTGTTTTATTCAGTCATTTGTTACTGTTACTTATTTAAATGATAGTACTATTATTATTTCGATACTCAGATTTTCTTAGACTTGGCCTGTTCGTGGTTTTTCAAACTGGCTTTTAACATGGCCCACCACTTTGCATTTCCTTACTAATGACACACAAAGATGTTCAAGGCTCATGATGCACATTCCCAGTTGTGGAATCAACCATTCCTCCAAGGACCCCTGTTTTCTTTTAGTGGAGAATGATCTTTAAAAATAAAATTTCGTTGCAAAGTATGGTCATTTCTTCTGGGGTGTCATTACTTCTAGGCCTTCTTTGAGTTAACAGAGCAAGGAAACATGTGAATATATGCATTTTCTTCCTCTCTCCTTCGCCCCCCCGCCGCCACCACACAGACACATACTTATTTCATATCTATGTATATTTAGAACCATGAGTTCACACTGATACCTCCAATTCTAGTTCAACACCACGTTTTATTCTAGCCTTCCCACTTTGCACGTTTTACTTCTCTTTGCCGACAGTGAGGAATCTGGTTCCCAGTATCCTCAATACATTTACGTATTTGCTCAGTCCTCTTGTATATAGCCAATTTCCTGACCACACAGGCCATCTCCTCAGCTTTAGTGCCACCAGCCAAGAGGTCCCTCTTCCCTCTCTCTATATTTCCCATGTTAGAAAACATTAACTTGGGAATTCCCTGGTGGTCCAGTGGTTAGGACTCTGCACTTCCATGGCTGGGGTCCCAGGTTCGATCCCTGGTCAGGGAACTAAGATCTCACAAGCTGTGTGGTGCAGCCAAAAAAAATAAAAAATAAAAAAATAAACGTTAACTTTTTAAGCTTGCCGGCTGTGAGAATTTTCCCCAACACCTCACCAGATATATAAAGAATTCTGTTCATAACAGAATTGAGGGCTGGCTGGGTAAACACATGTGGCAGAAAGAAGATGAGGAGGTAAAGTAAACTTCTGGTAAGAACATATTTGAAATGATTACTCAGAAAAGTTGTCACTTGCAAGGGAGAAAAGTAAAGATAGAGTTTGAGGGATTAGCTTGAAACATACCTGGTTTTAAGTACCTGTTGTTTCTGTATGTGGTTTTATCATTTGATAATTTTTTAAAAAATATTTATTTATGATTGGCTGTGTCGGGTCTTCGTTGCTGCACGCGGGCTTTCTCTAGTTGTGGCTAGTGGGGGCTACTCTTTTTTTTTTGCGGTACGTGGGCCTCTCACTGTTGTGGCCTCTCCCGTTGCGGAGCACAGGCTCCAGACACGCAGGCTCAGCGGCCATGGCTCACAGGCCCAGCCGCTCCTCGGCATGTGGAATCTTCCTGGACTGGGGCACGAACCCGTGTCCCGTGCATCGGCAGGCAGACTCTCAACCACTGCGCCACCAGGGAAGCCCGGGGGCTACTCTTCGTTGTGGTGCGCGGGTTTCTCATTGTGGTGGCTTCACTTGTTGCAGAGCACAGGCTATAGGCACACAGGCTTTAGTAGTTGTGGTGCGCGGGTGCAGTAGTTGTGGCTCGCGGGCTCTAGAGTGCAGGCTCAGTAGTTGTGGTGCACGGGCCCAGTTGCTCTGCGGTATGTGGGATCTTCCTGGACCAGGGCTCGAACCCGTGTACCCTGCATTGGCAGGCGGATTCTTAACCACTGCGCCACCAGGGAAGTCCTGATCATTTGATAATTTTAATGTTTTTTTTTTCTTTCAGTGCCATCTTATTTCTGATCACTGGCTACAGTTTCCCTGAATCCCATTATTTGTAGTTGCCATATATTGGGTTGGCTAAAATGTACGTTCAGTTTTTTTCCATAATATGGCTCTAGTAGTGCTTAGTTGTCACTAACTTCATTTGAAACAATTTTGTTAGATTGTATGTGACAGCTGTCATATCAGCGTGCATTAAAAAAAAACCAGCAGGGGCTTCCCTGGTGGCGCAGTGGTTGAGAGTCCACCTGCCCCTATGACACTTCAAACCAAAGTATTGGGTTGGCCAAAAAAGTCCGTTTGGTGTTTTCCGTAAGATGGCTCCAGTAGCACTTTAGTTGTCTTCAACTTCATTCGAAATAATTTTGTTAGATTGCATTGTGACAGCTGTCATATCAGCGTGCCTTTAAAAAAAAAAAATCAAAATTGGTGAATTTTTGTTTAGCCATTTTAATATTGAAGATGGAAGAAAACAACATTTTCGGCACATTATGCTTTATTATTTCAAGAAAGGTAAAAACGCAACTGAAGCGCACAAAAAGATTTGTGCAGTGTATGGAGAAGGTGCTGTGACTGATCGAAGGTGTCAAACGTGGTTTGCAAAGTTTTGTGCTGGAGATTTCTCGCTGGACGATGCTCCACAGTTGGGTAGACCAGTTGAAGTTGATAGTGATCAAATTGAGACAGTAATTGAGAACGATCAACGTTATACCACATGGGAAATAGCCGACATAATCAAAATATCCAAATCAAGCGTTGAAAATAATTTTCACTAGCTTGGTTATGTAATTGCTTTGATGTTTGGGTTCCACATAAGTTAAGCAAAAAAAGCCTTCTTGACTATATTTCCACATGCGACTCTCTAGTTATTGTAATGAAAATGTTCCGTTTGTAAAACAAACTGTGATGGGTGATGAAAAGTGAATACTGTACAATAATGTGGAATGGAAGAGATTGTGGGGCAAGCGAACCACCACCAACCACACCAAAGGCTGGTTTTCATCCAAAGAAGGTGATGTTGTGTATACAGTGGGATTGGAAGGGAGTCCTCTATTATGAGCTCCTTCTGGAAAAGCAAACGATTAATTCCAACAAATACTGCTTCCAGTTAGGCCAACTGAAAGCAGCACTGGACGAAAAGCATCCGGAATTAGTCAACAGAAAACGCATAATCTCCATCACAAGACCGCATGTTTCTTTGATGACCAGGCAAAAACTGTTACAGCTTGGCTGGGAAGTTCTGATTCATCTGCCATATTCACCAGACATTGCACCTTCGGATTTCCATTTTTTTTGGTCTTTACAAAATTCTCTTAATGGAAAAAATTTTCAATTCCTTGGAAGACTGTAAAAGGCACCTGGAACAGTTCTTTGCTCAGAAAGATGAAAAGTTTTGGGAAGATGGAATTACGAAATTGCCTGAAGATGGCAGAAGGTAGTGGAACAAAATAGTGAATACGTTGTTCAATAAAGTTGTTGGGGAAAATGAAAAATGTGTCTTTTATTTTTACTTAAAAACTGAAGGAGCTTTTTGGCCAACCCCGTATGTGCTGATAAGCTTAGATAATTTTTTCTGCCTGCCCTGCTTTTTGTTTGATTTCTAGCTTTCCATTCAGCTGCTGCCAGTTTGCTCTCTTCCTAAGGGATTATCTGTATAATCATCCCAACTAACCTTCTGTGCTTGGAGGGTTATATTTTACCTTGGGCTTTGGCCATCTTATTTTGCCCGTTAAGACTATTTGCTGGGTCATTGATGAAACTAACCATAATGTCAATCTCAGTTTCAGTTCTCAGATGTTTATACCTTCACTTTCATCATTTCCCTGTGGTTTAATGCTGGGCCCATTTGGTACTGTCTTTTGTTTGACTCTCAAAGGAACATTCTGGACTTTTTTTTCCTCTTTCTTCCTGTCATTCAATATGACATAGGACAGTGGGTTTATGGGCAGTTGAATTAAAACTTGATTATCAGTATAAATCATGGTTATATATTTAGCTGTATTCAAAATTTAAAATTTTATAAAACTGCAGTTTTAAAGTTAAGTATAGTTTTTATAGTTTTGTAAACTCATTTTTTTTTGTTTTATAAAATGAGTTTATATATATAGGTTGTCAACTTAAAAACAGAATCTTACAATTGAAGAGATTTTAAAGGACAGGTAGTTCCACCTCTCACCCAAGAACAGATGTTCCTTTATAGTATCCTTCTCCAGCAATTAGAACTCACTCTGATGAAGCAGCTTATTTTTCTGTCAAATTGTTTTACCCATGGTTATCTTTGTTCTGTGTCTGGGGATTCATTGACCATCCTGGGATCCAGTCATCGAGATAGCAGTGTGAGATTCACTATAGTTTCTTGGACTAGAAACCTGAGACATAGATAAACGTGAAGCCCGAAAAAAAGAGAGACTCTAGCCATTGGTCTGCTGATGAGGGATGCTGGCCAAAGTGTAAAAGTAAAAAGCAGGTTGGTGAGTCAGAGTTGTTGAAGCTGACTGAGCATGTTCTGGCTGAGCCTGGGTATGGAAGAGGGTCAGTTTTAGTTGACTTTTCGTTGTCATTGTTTTTACATAATACCTGCATTTCACAGTACTAGATACTGGGGATATAAAAAGGAGAAAAATAAGTAAGTGTCTTAGAAAGTGAGGTAGAATGTTTTTTCCCCACGGAAACCTTTGAGTAGTCGTAGTATTTCATACTCATTGTGTTTGTTCCAAAGCAGGAGTATCTGTCTTCCTTTTATATAGGTAGTATTTAACTTAAACATTGAACCAGGTACTTAAGTCATTGATCTGTATTCTATAAAGATGTAGGAAAGTGTAAGTTATTTTCTTTATGAGATCTAATTCGGGTGGTTTTTTTTCCTGAATATTTTATTCTGGAAGGATTTTAATAAGGAATAAAAGCACCATTAATCTTTTTATTTTCTGTAGTTCAGGATCCTTTAAAGTTTGAAAGTTCAAAATGTTTCACTATAACTTATTTCCCAGAAAATGAAGTTTGAAATGAGAAAATGTAGCCATGGGTTAATCAAGAACACGGGAACTCGAACAAACATTTGACAGAGGGAGAGGGAGGGGGGGGAGAGAGAGAGAGAGAGAGAGAGAGAGTGTGGTGTGTGTGTGTGTTAGGTTGTTTATAGTTTGAAATTTGGTTTTCTAGTTTGTAGTACATTTTATTTAGAGTTCATTGGGATTCTGACATCCAGAAAACTCTTTGCTGAACTTTCTTTTATTGATAGTCTTAATGACTTTATGCTAATGATGACCATAAATTAACATTAGATGTAAAATATTGGGAGTTTTTTGGGGATGGTGACCATATTTTTTTTTCACCTTTAAATTCTTAGTGTCTGAGATACAGAAGGTGTTCATAAATGTTTATTTCTAGGATTTTTGGAAGTATATTTCAGCAAAGAATCTTCATATAGTACTAAATGTTTGGCTTTTTTATGTTTGAAAATTGGTAAACATCAAATTTGGGAAAATTTTAGCCAATATTCTTCAAATAGTTTTTGGCTCTCTGTCCCCCTCTGGGGACTCTTATTATACTTGTCTTGCTTGTATCAGCCTAAAATCAACACGTATAACCTAAAATCAACACATATAACAAAATAAGGCTTATTGACTTATTGCAATAAAGGTTACTGCACAGCAGAGAAACCAAGGGGCATCTTACCAAAGAAAAGTTTTTGTAGGATTTGGGGGGAACTGGGGAGTTTGGGTAAAATTTAAATGAAACAGTGTTTGAGAGGTTCAGGGCAAAGTACTATCTGTGAAGGGAGTTAATTTTTACTTTCTCATACAGTTATTGGGCTGGGTGAACTTGTCCCAGTGTATGCTGACATTCTTTCCATCTTTTTAATTTTTTCAGTCTTGGTTTCATTTGGAGATAGTTTAGATAGTTTCTGTTGCCCATTTTCATGTTCTTCTGCAGCGTCTAAGCAGCTATTAATCCCATCTCTGAAAGTTTAGTTTGGGTCTATTTTATATCTTTCTTGTCTACTTAATGTACTCAGTTGTTTTCCCTACTTTCTTACATATGTGGAATATAGTTACAG